AACTTCAGGTGAGCAAATTCGAGCAACAACTCATCGACGCCTCCGTTGAAGAACTGAACAAAAACATCAAGAAAGGTGTTACGTTCGCCAAAGGAAACTAATTAATGATGATCGGTAGCTGTTCTTGCGCAATCTTAATATTCTGGTGTTTTCAATTAACTGGTGTAGTTGCATAGAGATAGAGTATTGCATGTTGTATAAGTCACCCATTCATAAATTTTATGTATTAGTGGTTGTGTCACTGTGAATTTATTAACAGTAGTAGTCTCTACTACGTTTCAAAAGTACTTGTGTCTTGTGGTGAAGTACCTGGCATCGTGACTTGAACTGCTTTAATGGCCTTAATGGTTGCACTGTGGAGTGAAGTTCACTGCTTAGCAATCACAACCTATCTCGTCATAACCTCATTTACTCTTGGAACTGTCTTCACATTTCGAATCGTTCCATCAGGAATGCAAAAGCGAATGCTGAAGACAAACTAAATCACTGCCCGTTTTATGGTGCGCTCACTGGTGAGGTGGCTTAAATTGTGAAAGTGTCTAATCAAAAACATTTGGCATTCAAGCATGACTAGTATTGGCTAATGCTTTTGCAACTGGTTTGCTTCCAATTTCTTTTCACCTGTTTGGGCTATAATGAGAGTGCCACACTTGTCTTGACAGACTATGCTAGGATGAGCCAGTGTTGAGGTTCTGATGGAAGAAGGGTCGCAGTTGGATTTTCCGCGAAAGTTGAATTGAGTGAAGTTGACAGCGTATTTTTTAGGTAAGCCTTTTTGGATCGGTTCAGTAGGTTTTTGATAATACTCGCCAAACTTAGTGAATTTTTGGGAATACGTCGAAATTAGGAATTATCTTCTTCCCATGGTGCTATACAACCCTTTTTACATAGGGTTTTTTGAGGGACGTTTTGAGGTTGAGGATTCACGCCACGAGAAATGCTTCGCGCTGCGATATGCGAACAAGTCGTTTTATGTCCTAGTGTATCACGTCCGCAAAGGTACAGTCGATATCCGAAAGTTGGGGTAGGTGTGGCACCGGAAGTGACGTGCACTTGATAGAAGTTGCGTGGATAAGCTTGCCAGCATGCTTTGCTGATATCCAGCGATGTATGTTGGAAGCAGCTTATCCACGCAACTTCTATCAAGTGCACGTCACTTCCGGTGACACGCCTACCCCACCTACCCCAACTATCGGATATCGAGTATAGGTTGTGGCATACGAAGTTGAAGGAGCGTCCTAGTTTGTCCCCCCCCTAAGGAGCTTTCTCTTCTCGTGACTCGAGTAACTATTTATTATGCTCGAAATCTCTATGTCGAGTAGGACTTAGCACGGATGAAAGTGGGTTTTGAGCTCTCTGACTCAGCAAGGACAAGGAGGATGGTGCTACCTACGGAATTCTTCCGACATATGGCTCACCCTGGTCTTTGTATTTGTGGTGTTGTAGCATGGAAAAGTGCATTGTCGAACTCTAGTTGAATTCCCTGGTATGTCTGTTACTCGACAATAATGTGGCAATAGTTATTACGATAATAGTTGCAAGCAATTTCCTTCATTTTGTACCGCACCATGTCTTGGTTAAGGTCTAGAGTAAAAGCTGAGCCGGCTGGATAACCGTTGAAAAGAATTTGTACAAGAACATTCGTGTGATACAAAGAGATATCGTTATTGCATATTATCATAGTTTGATGTGATTGTAGATTAACAAGTTGGAATAAATGTGCTCCAATCGGGCTTGAAATCCATTTTGTGGGGCTTCCTCCCGCTATACTTCTCTAATTTTGCTGTTTTTCTTTTTTTTTAAGATGATTCTGTTTTACAAAACAGTTTTGTTCTACCAGTTTTTGATGTACCCAAATCGTTACGTTTACGGTGGACTTATGATATCTGGTGGAACATTGTGCACGACAGTGTTCTTATGTTGCAGAAATTGCTATTATTTCACAGAGAGAGCAATGTGAAGAAAGTTTGTTCGCGTCAAGTTCGGATTGTCCGCGCCAATTACTTCAGACTGTTGTCAAGTGAAAGTGATGGAGACGATAAAAAGGTATGTTTTTGTTTGTGGTGTTTCAGGGAGTTTTTGTTTTTGTTTTAATAATTTGAGGGTTTGTTTGTGAGCTTTATCTCCTATGCTTTATTATGAACAGTTCTGTTTTGCGCACTACCATAGGTACCTCTGATTGATATTCTGCCATCGTCTACACGAAGAGGGGCAAGGATTTTCCAAACTTCATTGGCTTCCCGGAATTTTCCAAAATTTCTCCCAAGACCGGGATTGTTAAGCAAAATAAGTGATAAGAGTACTTGCTCTAGATGGGTTCCCATGTGTACGGGCAAGGGAGTGGTAATGCGGGGGTCAAAAAATAACTGTTGTTTCTATGATACAAGGTTTTCGATTCCAGCGACCACCCAGGCAAAGCGCTAAAAGATGTTGCTGAAGGCGTGACGGAATCTGTCTTGATGGCTGTAATGCGTGTTGAGGATCTTCCATGAAAGTGATCCCAACACGAAAAAAGCGTAGTTCATATTTTCACCTTGTAACATATGTTCACTAGTTGATCTATGCGTTACTGCGCATTTTAAAACAACACTGTTTATTGTTTCTTCATCGAGCTATTATTTTAGAACATAAAAACACGATTGATTCGAATTGATGTCTCATGAGAAAGCGACGTTTGATGAGGCAACAGGAGCACAAATGCAGGAAATGCTCGATGACAAAGTTATTCCAGGGATTGCTCAGTTCCGTGGCTGCCGATGCAAAACCACCCAGTACAGTACCAAATAAGTTAGTTAACCTTAATTTTGTTTTTGCTTCTTTTCAGTTATTCATATTCTTCAGAGTTATGCAAGAACGCCAAGAGCGTCGAGGTTTACTTCTTCTGCGTAAGGAAATTTTCTATCAAGCTGTTCAGGTACAGCAAATCTTTTGGATTTATAATAGTTCTATTGAATTATCCTTTGTAATGTTTCCTGTTTAAGAGTGGTATCAAGTCTACAGAAGCACAGAAATTAGCGGAAAATGCTGTTAACGAAGCACCAGGAGCGTTGAGCAGCCCAAAGAAAAGCTCAACTAGAAGGTATAGAGGTATGTAAAATTTGGTGTCACGAAGAAAGAGTCTATGTAAAATTTGGTGTCACGAAGAAAGAGTCATCTCTCAAGCTAACTTTTATTTTAGCCTCTCACATTTTAAGGTTGCCGAAGAATCCGAGAAACAGCAAAAAGTTAAAAGGGCGGAAGAGGAACAACGATTTTACGATTACGCTTACCAAATGGCTGAGTTAGTCCTCTAGTGTGGCTTCCATTCTCTTTCCTCCTATTGAGATAGGATTTTGTTTTATTTTAGAAAAATGTTATACCAAGACGACATCCTTGGTGATGGAAGTAAAGCTCGTAAAACAATCAAGCCTGATCCAGCGGTGCCGTCATTGCTGAAAGGATCGAAACGGCTTGGAATATGGAAGAACTTAGAGGGATGTCAGGATCACAGCCTAGGATTCTGGTCAGAATGGGATCATAGGGCGGCTAGGTACGCTTTTCACGTTAAGCTTTTTTCAAAATAGGTTTTCGGTCATTAAAGTTGCGGTTGGTAAAGTAGTGTTTGATCTTACGAAGTTATTACGCGTTAACCTCGACAGCATGGCCTCTTCGAACGAAGAAAAAAGTGGCATATAGGTGAATATCGCTTTGGGTCATATCCTCCACCTATCAAAAGCTCTTCAAATTATTAGCGATCGCCAGTTCTCTCTGCAGGGGTAGGTTAAAGGTTTGGCTTCCTGGCGAGGTGCCCGTCGTGATTTAAATTTGGTTACGTGGCATCACGAAGCGTCAGCATTAAAAGCACCAGGGGCGGTATTCTATCCTTCCTCAGACTAGGGTTAAGAAAGAGTCCTTTAAATTTATTTGTTTTCAACGACGCTTTCCCCTACTTTCCGCTTTTGTTTGTTGTTACACACATAAATACATTACAAATATGCAGTTCGTCAGGGCAATTCCTGTTCGGAAGACCGAAGAAAATTCAAAGTGAATTTTTCGTTCCTTAGCATAGGGGAGGATAGGATACGGCCCCAGAAGAAGAAAGGCGGATGTCCTTGAAATTAATTCTTCACCGGGGCTATCGCGCGACAAGCCTCCTTCAGGCACTAGCCGAGTTCCCACAGCGCTCAAACTAGAAATTTCATTAAGCTTAGATAACGGCATACTGAATTCCTTGACGCAATTGTTAAAGATACAGCCATAATATCAGATTTGTGTAGGGTTTGGAATCATTAAGAGAGTTGCGGTAATTCAGAATCATGAATCAATCGCTCGGACCAGAGAATTCGTTCGAAGAGCAAATAGAATGGACAGAACAAGGGAAACAGTGGCCATATCCGATTGATAATGAATACATGTTGGGGCACGAAGCTGAGGTTTGCTTTAGCAAAAAATTCACCGATGAGTTTGCTTTCATTCAATTCAACTACTTCAATTTTTCTGATTAGGTTCCATTCTATGAGCACGTTTTCTTGGAGAGGCACCTCGCCTGGTCTCGGCTTCCAAAAGATTGGTCCTATAGCGCACTTTATGGAGTTGGTAAGTATTACTATGAGCAAGAAGGCTTCGAGCTTGTAATTTTTACCAGTTCGTGGTTTGTGAGTCGACCAATAATACATACTCATTTCTCGCTCTGTAGGTTTGCGTTGGTTTGTCGAAGAATCCATACATGACGATTGAGAAGAAAATGGACCATTTGAAGTGGTTTGCAAACTTCTTCAATGAAGAGAAGCAAAAACTGATCAAGAAATTGCATGAGGAAGAGCAGCTAGCTGCGCAGCAATCCTAGTGATATCGACTACTTCTTAGAGCTTAGCTATTAGGTTTCGATTATTGTTCCGTTATTCTTAGTTTGTTGTTGATCTGGAAATGTTTCTGTACATATGTATGTCAAGTAATAAACAAAAATCTACGTGACATCGAATTTGATATTATTGTCTAGAAAGGCTCAGAAGCAGCAGAGCGAACCCGCCCTCCCCCTGCGTTCGAAGACCGATCCCTTCCCGGAGCACCTGCTAGAAAACTACACAGCTTTGCTATCAGTGGTTCGAGAAAAGTACCGTTCTGCAATCCAGCGTAATTGATGCTGTAAGCTCAGCTATGCGAACGACTCAGGTGTGGCCTAAATGACATAGTGCGGGTGGGGGACATCTTTCCAGCAAATTTCAAGCAGCAGTTGGTTCAGAAAATCTGTTGCGATCGTGCCTGCATCGTTCCACCCTCCCTACATTGCAGCCTTGTAAAATAAATAAATAAGTAAAACTAGAACACTATTCTGAAAGGTTGTATTCCAACGTCAAAATATCATCCCCCCACCCCCCCACACAGTTTTTGCAGGCATTGCAAAAGTCAATTTTTCTTCTATACTCATGTGCAAGCTTGGTTGCGCTAGTGTTTTGTTAGTGTTTGTAACCATCCGCCCATCTGGTTGTGGAATTACTGAGCGTAGAATCCTTGGCGTTGAATAATCGTTGTCTGGGTATGCTGCTACACATTCGAATCCACACCCAGACCAATATATGCTAGTTGAGGAATTTGGAAGGTGTTACGTGCAAACAATGGCTTGATGATTTGAATGACGGATGTATTCACTTCCATTCGTATATTAAAATGGCGCTCATGAGGCGAAGGTACAGCTCCATTCGTACCGATATGAGGTGTGCACATTTACAAAGATGAGGCGTTATTGTTCGGAGCAATCGGACCTTACAACAATATGTTTCATTGCATTTTCTCACATATGTACATATTCTATAGCTGCTCTTTTTTGCGTTTCTTCGAAGAAATATGCTACCATGTTTGGGGTGAATCCTGTGTGTACCTACGACCTCCATCTTTAATGGATCATGCGATTTTGGTGACTTTACATTGATCATTTAAAGGAGGATTGCACGGAAAGAACGAAGGTCGAAGAAGGGAGAAATCGCCTAGTGGGGAGAGCGGTGAATCTCTTGAGGGTGCGGACAGACACGCAATCGGCATCGAAAGATTTGACCTCTGAGATCTAGCATGGCTCAAAGTTGGCGAGTTCGGCGATCTCCGCCCACCGATCGTCTGATCACTCGCCGTAGTACAATAGGTGGCGAGTGATTAGATAGCTGAGAGAGCGTAGGGTTGAAGAGGGCAAAGCGATGAGAGTCCCATCAATGCTCAAATCAACGGACAAGGAAGGGGTCCCATTTCTCCGGTTCTGGGCCTTTCGTGGTTCTCAGCGTTCACTTTGATGTACTACTCCCACCATATCTCTACTCAATTTAGACATGGGTTTGCTTTCCGCCCCATGACGTAACATCTCGATCTCCTTTTAATAAAGAAATGGCCGCTCGACAAATCTCAACAGAGTATTGATTTATCAAGGCTCTGCTGACCAATTATCATTGCTCGTTAAGTCGAGATCACAACGGTCTTGAAGAAATTTTAAAACTAGAGGTAAGTCCTGGATGCAAGGCCAAGTTGGTTAATGAACTCAAAAATTGATGAAGTTCGGTAGCTGTATTTTAATCGCAGCGATCACGATAACTTCTTGAGTGGTTCAAAGGGGACGTACGGGAGCTCAGTGGTACGCCAGGGCAAAGAAACTAGAGAAATTCGTGGAGATAACAAATGGGTGAGGCCTCTCTGTGTGCCGGATGATTTTGGCTCACGGACGGCAGGACCGCCTAACGCATGACGGAAAGTGGAGCGGTTTGCCCGCAACGTGCGCGGGTGGCCACCATGCTCCGGTCGTATTGCTACCAAGTTGCCCGCTGCTGCATACAGCTCAATCCGAGTCAACCAACATAAACTTAGTGGAGGAACGCAGTGCAGCGCTTTTCAAGTATACCATCAGTAACCTAACCGGCAACTCCCCTTGCTAAGATTGCGCCACAAGCCCAGCTTCTTTGCTGCGAGCTACAGCTTCGTAAGTCGTAACTTTCGCGCGTAATCGCATTCCATAACCCCACTAACGGACGGCGTGCGCCGGCGAGCTACGAACTTGTCGTCAACGGAAATCTCTTTTTTCGGATGATGAGACTCCGACACCTACTTTAGCCCGTCATACCCCTGCTGTTCACATAAGCCTACATGAACCCTACCCTGGGTGGCGGCGTGCGCCACATGGTGGCGCACGCAACAAATACACTGGCCCAGTCGTTTGGGTTAAGGAATAGAAGATTCGAAGAACGCTATGGTATACCAAGTAACGCTTCTTCGCAAGCTGCAAACTAAACTACAAACCTTCTTCGATCTCCTAGTGGGAGTCCGCGGCAGCTCATGGGGTACCCCCAGGAGGCCCGTCGCGCGGCAAGAAGGCAGAGTCGGCGGACGAGTTGCAGCGCGTGGTGTGCGATGTAGGACGTGCAGTGGGACACTCTATTTAACTTGACGCGAAATCCCTATAGTACGCGCGCGACTCGTCCGCTGACTTTGCCTTCTTGCCGCGCGACGGGCCTCCTGGGGGTACCCCCGCAGGCGCAGGGTCCGGATCAGGGTCGGTCCTATCGTTGGTGCTTTTTGCAAAATTTTTACGACCCCCTACTTCACGAGAGGTTGCATACGACCATCTCCTCACAACTACTTTTTCCCTCGAAAAACATCGTCGAATAAGGAGGGGAGGGGGAATTTCCTCCAGCGCGCTCTCATCTCATCACATGTTTCGTGCGACCTACCCCCCCCTCCAAGTCCATCCAAAGTACGACCTCCCGTTGCTACTTGTAGCAACGTGGGGTTGACCCTGGTCCGGATCCTTTGTCGGTCGTCGCCACCTAGCTCTGTTTAAAGCATCGTTTACCGTGACCGTGGCCTCACATAGATCCTTCTTGGTTACGTCCCTTCACCTCTTCTTTAGGGCTCCTCGCAGACGCTTACCTTGCGCTTCAAAGTTCACTGCTGTTCTTATCGATGATCGCTTGGCCCTCTTATTTCCGTAAAGCTGGACAGGGCAGCTGCATAACTGCTCTGACATTGTCCTTTCTGAACCTGTCCATCCACAGGCCCACCTCAACATCCTCATCTCTGTGGAGTGAAGCTGCCCTTTCGTGATTTTTGTTTGAGGCCCAGCACTCACTGCCGTAGGCCTTCGCAGCCTTAACCACTGTTCGGTACACCTTCCCTTTGAGCGCTCTGGAGCAACCTTTCGATCAGTGAAGGATTTCATTAGAACTTCCTGCGCATTTCTCCCATACAGCGTTAACGACGACGCCTTCACGCATCTTGATCCCACACCTGTACCCGTCGCTGCATATCGCTTTCCAGGTGGCGGAAAATCCTCCACCCTTTCGATAAGTCTCACCATGAACATCTATCAACTGATTTTGTACCGCCTCTTCAAGTTCAAGGAACTTGAGCTTCTTGGGAATTCAGTCGGCTCTTCTACCCGGATTTCTCTGTGCTCATTCTGAGGCCTTGAAAAATTCCATGTCCAGTATCCGCTAATCAAGGCCATGTCGTCACCGTAGGAGGATGAATCTTAACAGGTTCTCCTCCATAAAAGCCTTCACGGCAAAGGAAACTATTAGGTACCGGATATCTTAGTGTCGTTTTTTCACCGCGAGTTTCGGACCACCAATATTTTAATTCAAAATCCGGGTGAGTGAAACAGCATATCCATCGAATGACTCATTAGCCACTTTCCCATTTACCAGTATGAGTGAAACCTCGTACGATTAAAGCTAGGAATTTTTTTGAGTCGAAAAGAGAGGTAGGTCGTTTTGACATCATCTGACAAATCATCCCTCTCACTTGCTAAAAAGTTAGGCCTGGACAAAAGAAGTATACAGTTAGTTAGAGTAGGGTCTGCACTGTATGGTGGAAAAGTTATAACTTACCAGCTCAACTGGACAATTTTTTCCGGAGTCTTTTTTGCCACATAGGGTCAAAAACGCACCCTTTTTGAGCACACGTGAGTAGCAGATGAGCACATTTATTAGAATTTCTTGTGCAGTCAACTTTCGATCAGTAGCACTGCCTAAGGTGTCCTACCATTTCAGCACAAGACTGGTGCAGCCCCGTCTCGACTGATTTAACTAGGCCACCTTTTTGACGACGATTGCGGGCATCACTTCAAAGACTTCACTGTCTTTTGAGAAAACTGTGAAAAACCGATGAGCATTTTAAATGGTAGTATTCCCTCCAACAAATGCAATGTTGGTTTGGTGGGCGGAAGTTGTAGCTCTCAGCAAGAATTTTGAAGCATTTGGTACACACATGCGAATTGCACGCTGGCAGGAACGCAAAAGTATAAAAATTGGGGGAAAGTTAAATTGTGAACCAACAATAGAAGACGGTAAGCAACATATTTCGCAATATTAATGAGCAAAAACTGCCTTCTGGGATATTGATTTTCCATAGTAATCGGCCCCAAAACTTCCTGAACTCAGAAAAGCGACACTAAGATATCCGGTACCTAATAATTTCCAGGAAGAACAGGAAAGGGCTTACAGCTGATCTTTTGGTGCACCGCGACCGTGATGTTCATCCTCGTTAGGTCGTGTGGGGTGCGTATAGCTGCCTTAGCCCCATGCGTGACGTGCGTGTCCTCTATGAATGAGGATCAAGGCGTTCTGGACCTTCCATTCCCAGGGAGGCGGTTTTCTATAGTACTGCTCGCGATATGTCTTTTCAAGTTGAGGAAGGCTAGGTAGCAGGTCGGTGCTTTTCTCGATACTTCTCCATTATTTGCCTTGCGCTGTAGATGGCATCCCACCTTTCGATCACGAATCCGAAGTGTTCTTGGGAGATCGGGACTAACCCCGCAGCTTCGAATCGACCAGTCGCTCGTTACAGCTTTATGTGTACTGAGCAGTCCAACGTGTGATCCATGTTAGTTTGAGCCAGCCTTCATCGCGTCAACGCCTTCTCCGACGATCAGTGCCTCGCTCGGTCCAGCAACGGAGCATCCTATCTTCGAGGTACGTGTTCACCAGAAACAGGTTAGCCCCCGCTTAAAGCTGTAACTCTCTAAGCCTTCCAAAAGCCTCCCATGGCGTACTCCTATGAGACTAACCGCCGCTTCAATTTCTTCTCTTCCATCGGTTGGGCGCACGCCGACCTCAATCCTACTGCCCAAGAGTGCGAGCTGGTGCTCGGTGTGTAACTTGGAAGAGAAGGTTGGAAAAGAATGGTTAGTCGAGGCTGAAGACGCAGAGCCTCTATTATTGCGAATGGGTCCACCATAACCTTACCTGTCACCGTCATAAGTGAATCGCTCTCATGAATAGGCTGATGTTAACATCCCTGCCCCGAATCTTCGGAAGGCAGGTCGGTCCTATCGTTGCTACTTTTCAAAAAGTTTTTACGACCCCCCTCCCTCATGAAATGTTTCATACGACCCCCCTCTTTCAAAACAATTTTTACCCCAAAAAATTACCGTCGAACGGGAGGGGGTATACCATGCCACTTCTTATAACCGAAGCAAGTACGATCCCCCCTCCTCTACAAACTCACCAAAATACGACCCCCCGTTGCTACTTGTAGCAACATAGGGTTGACCCTGTTTCCGAAGTCCGATTCTAAAACGTTCGAAAATGACTTTGGCCTGACTGCAGAGCTATTGCGATCGTACGGAAGTTGAACGGGGAGGGCACTTAGCCAATTCTGCACTTCACCTCCGTTCATCTTGCGCCAATGATTCGTGGCGCAGAGGTGATAAAGCTTTCTAGTACAGACAACGTTACCCTAGCCAGACTGGCAAAAACAAACGCTTTCCAATTTCCAAACTTTTTTGAACGAGCAAATAGAAAATCTGAAACAGCAACCCACATCTATGTACTTGTTTCGCGAACATTTCACATAGATACAATTTCCCAATATTTCATCCGTATAATAAACAAAAGTACAACCATGGAATAGAGAAGGGAGTTTTTATGGTGGTTCGAAGAGACAGCAGGTCGACACACATACGTGTGATTCAACATAAAAGGGTAGGGTGCCGTACTTCATAGTGTAATAACAATGCTCGTCTACGTGCTGATCGCACTCATACTTTTCAACGCCGTCACGGTCTTCAGTGTAGAGTGGAGCGCAAAAGCTCGTGAAGAGGTAGGTCTCAGGCATACAATTTCAGATAGCAACATAACAGATGAGGTTAAATGAACTCTACTTCAGGCTTGCGAAGACACCGAGCCCGGAGAACTCCCCGCATCCTGTACAACCCTCAGGCAAAACGGTTGGTGCGAAAATCCCGAGAAGCGCACATTTATGGAGGAGAAACTGCAGGAAAGACATGTCTCTAAATTGGTATGCACTAATAATGGCATCTAACTCAGATGCAGTTTAGGAGAGAATATTATCACAATGTTTTATAGCCATCCCGAGCCGAAACACTAACAACGTATTGCGGTACAAAATTTTTCTATGATTTTGAGAGCTTCAATAAACATGCAAGATGGACGTATATTTACAGTCCCCCAATGAAAGTGGATGCTCGAAAAATCGAGAGAATAGGCTCACAACCTGATTGGTCGCATTTTATAGGGGATGTATCCTGAAAATTTAACCATATCTATAAATTTAACCATAAGATATGGGAACCTTGAGGACAACAAGTGTGCTTAAACATGGAATTGAAGCCTCCTGGCGCGCAAGGCCCTGCAAGACCGTCACTTGTTTCTTTCTTCTTGGCAGCCCCACTTCAAACAATGGATCTGTTGGCTGCAAGCCTTGGTGATTTTCGGTTATGTGACGCATGCAGCAGTGAACTAACTGCCTGAAAGAGTATTTCACTGCATTACCAGTGATCGTTCCCTGCTGATCAGCAATTCGCTCCAAGGAGCGCCAGCAACGTCTCCACTCATCCCTGCTGCAAGAGTACATAGTTCAGTGGATCCTCCTCGCTTGAGAGAAACACAGTCCTCATCCTTTTCGTTCACAGCCCTCCGTGAAGAAGTTGACCATCGGCCCATGGTCCTATGTGTTCATTTGACGCCCCAAGGTATCCATTCGGTGACCGCTTTGGTGGAACGGTCGTCGAGCATGCGGTCGGCGACATCCAACGATCTTCCGAGAAGGCGATGATTGGAGTCACCCGATAGACGCGAGTGCAGAGAGAATCCGAACCTCAACGGTCGAAGATACGTTCAAGTTCAGGGAGCCGAATGGGTGATTCTCTGTGGTGCCTTGGACAAGTGAAGAGGGTTGCACACAGGAGAACAATAGGCAGAAATGAAAAATGTCCTTTATTGGCTACAATATAGGACAATTCAGCACACTTTATCAAAATATATTGTGCGGGACGCGAAGTGGTGATGCCACACATACGTAGGTAATATTTCTAACCAATCTTTGCAGCGATCATTCGACAAAAAAACATATCTATTGAGTTTTACACCCATTTTGGAGTCTGTCATGTGTCTGTTCCGATTTACTTTATTCTACGTTGACCGGCTAAAGCCATATCGGATTTTAAACTGAAATTTTTCTGAAATCCCTTTCTTTATATCAAGTGGTATATCATTCTCTATGGCGGAAGTGGTGTAGTGGCAAGTGGCACGCTTACCACACGAGCGGTCCGGGGATCAAATCCTGGGTCGTGAGTCGCCCGGGCCAACCAAGCCTTCCATCCCTCCGGGGTCGGTTAATTGGTACCAGACTTGTCTGGGAGGATAAAAAACACTGACTTGTACATTAACATCGGCTGGCCCCCGCAAGTCATTGTATAGGCCCTCAATGTTGGCTGGCTTCATTATCTGCCCCTTCTATCTTCCTTTCTGCTTTATTCGAACGTGTGTTTTGTTTGAATTTTCCTATGTGAATAAGGTCGAATTTTAGAAATAATGATAAGCTTAGCTCTGCTTAGTCCACGAGAATGATTCACATTATTTACTTCAGAAATTTCCTTAGAAAATTATAAAAGCAATCATGCATGCATTCCAGTCTTCGAGACTTAGTCATAACCTGTTTTCGACTTCCCACTAGATTTTAACGCTTGAGCTGCAAAAATTTTTGTGCCTAGGTTTGCCTAGATAGCGCTTAACTATGGAATTCTGACCAAGAAAAATTCGGAAAAGGGACGACGCGAACTTACTGAAAAGTCTCACAACCCCAATAAGCCACAAATCCTCGTAAAAAAATACACTACAAAATACAAATTCAAGAACAGCCAGAACGCGTTCTTCCAAAAAGTTCACTTTGCCCTTCGCGGCAACGATTAAATAGGGCTTCCAACTGTTACCTGATCAACCTATAATGTAAGAAGAGTTTGCGAGGAATTCCTAATATTCAAACTACCCTGCTAGCGCTGAGCATGAGCCCTCAGAATTCTTGGAGACCGTTTTTGGCAATAGAGGTGTGATACCTCGTGTTCCGGAAGGTTAAAAATGCCTGGGCATAAGGGACAACATTTGTAAAACCAAGTCAACGTCGTCAATAGAATCGATTCCACCGACTCTCGCCCGTGAGCCCGAACACACTACGCTGCTCTAATCTTTGCTTCTCAACTCCGCTCGAAAATCGATTGGCAGGTTTGGAAAGCAGGTTTGAGATCAGCGTTCAAAAACAATTACTCTACATTTCGAAAACGGGAGAGTTCCGAGTGCAGACCACACACCACAAGTGAAGCCAAGGAAACTGTGAAATTTTCTTTTCCATTGAGCGTGATTTTCTTACACCACTTCCCAGGGTCAACCGTCCGTTGGACAAAGTCCAACGCGACGACGAGAGTAATGCCGAGAGTGAACGTACGCACGGAGACACAGACGGCTCGCGGGTGGCGAGAGTGAATGCCGGCGCGGAGAGCGGTGAACATCGGTCCAACGTCGCTCCAATATCGGTCCAACGTAACGGTTGACCCTGTTCCCAAATAAAAGAAATTATACGAAGTTATACGAACCAATCAGAATTGGCCGCCTGACAGGTTTTATACTCGAAATCCGCAAGTTGGGTAGGCGTGTCACCGGAAGTGACGTGTACTTGATAGAAACTATGTGGATAAGCTGCTTCCCCAACATATACATCGCTGGCTATCAGCAAAGCATGCTGGCAACAGCTTATCCACGCACTTCTATCAAGTGCACGTCACTTCCGGTGACACACCCACCCCAACCTATCGATATCGACTGTAATGAGCGAAATCAGCTCGGAAATGCAATCGGCCGCGTGCTGGCGTAGAGGTGAGATGGCATTGAGCTTGACCTGAGCTGTTCCTGAATTCATCAATGCTTCAATGATACTTATAGACAGGCCATTACCTTCAAAAAACTCCTTGCGAATAATCCATGTGATTTGAGTTGGGAGAATGAGGTTGGACCCAGGGTCAATCCTACGTTGGGACAGCATATTAATAAAATATAGTGAAGATGAGAGAAATATTGGTAAATTCTACGGGATTCGTGGTAGTAATATACCTCCTCTTCCCCACTCGATGGTTGTTTTGGAGGGAAAAGTGGGTGGGTTTAAGTATGTCAAGCGGTCTTAGAATTAAATATCATAGTAACAGCGACCATAATGGCGAGGGTGATGAGGGGGTTGTGAACTTTCTGATTGGAAGAGGGGGGTCGTAAAAAATTTCCGAAATGTCCCCAACGGTAGGACCCGAACTCTCGGTTGGTACTATGTTCAATGTCATCGCTCTGAAGAGGTTCTGCTCCATCCATTTTGCACAGTTTCTGCATTGTAGCAGGCAGGGTATCCTGCTGGGATACACAGTGATTTCTGCAGATGCTCTTAACCAGATGCACCTGTTAAGTTCGGAGCACTTAAGTCATCGAGTACGCTCCTCGTATTACCTGTAATTGTTGTACCCACGCCTGAACTTGCCCTTATTATGGCTCCACCCAAGCCCGAGTTTTCTTTTATTTCCAAGGTTGCTTACAAAAGGAGACTAGACTGGAACTGTAGTAACCTATTGCCGGGCATCTGGTGAGCTCCACAAGGTTTAGTTGTATATGGGGAGGCTCTCTCCCCTAATGATTGGAGGTTCCCGCAGTTCTGTTTGTAAATTGTGTGCAATGGATAAATAAAAAGGATAAAGCATTTGCCGTTGATCAATCCCTTTTGGGATGCGGCACGCATTCTACTTCCATTTGTACATTCGTAGTGGCGTTTGAATGCGATGTGGCCTATACAATGACTTGCGGGGGCCAGCCGATGTACAAGTCAGTGTTTTTATCCTCCCAGACAAGTCTGGTACCAATTAACCGACCCCGGAGGGATGGAAGGCTTGGTTGGCCCGGGCGACTCACGACCCAGGATTTGATCCCCGGACCGCTCGCGTGGTAAGCGTGCCACTTGCCACTACACCACTTCCGCCCACGTGTCATGCGCGCATACCAATGCCCAATCAATGCCTTCGAGTCGCACTTCCTGTTCTCGCATTAATCTATGCCTAGAAACCGCGGTAAGAGCTCCTCAGAGACATTGGCCAAACACCAAGCGTGCCTCTTGCAGCAGCGCTAGGGCATGCGGCCAGTGATGTCACCGCGCTCACCACAGATCGCCCAAACGTCGTGCATGCTGCCGATCCGGGCTGGTGTTGTGCCCGTGTGGCAGGTGTGTGTTTGTGTGTGTGTGTGTCTATGTGCGAGTCCCGTCGTCGCCAGCGCCCTTACCGCCTTTCGTACTCTCTCGCCATCGCCGCCATATATTTCCCCTCACTTCTCACATGCCTAAACGTGCATTGTTCGACCGCGATTCATCCCTCTGTTATTCCTCGTGCAGCGATTGCTTGCCAATTGACGCCTATTTGCACTAACATTCATTCCTTCGATTTGAACACTTTATCTACGGTAATACTTGAACCATGATTCATTTCCAGTTCACATAGAAATCGCCCTGATACGCATTCAAACGCTACAACGATAGTCAGCGTATGGCACATGCGTGGCGCACCCAACTAGACGTCAACCATTCTGTGCTGTTCCTAAAGCTTGCTCTGCAAGTTGCAATACTCGTGCAATGTGGCTCCGGGGGGGGGGGGTGAAGCCCGTAACATTGTGTCAGTTTTCGCAGACTTTCGGGACTAAGCTTTAGAAGATAGGAGGGAATCCTAGCTGCGTAAGCAGTTCTCTCTGCATTAGGCTTAGTCCTAGTAGCCTTCCGACAGACTGCCCCCCCTGGAGGCACATTGCGCAGCCGTACTCTAACCTACCGTAATCCTGATACTGTATCCTGCTTCCTATCGATATTTAGCTAAGGATATCTACTATAGTATCCATTTCCCTTTTCACCCACTATGCGCCAGTTCTGATCTTTGGGGTGCCATAAGGTTTCTAGTGGAATGATTGGGTAACTTGCCATCTGGAACTGACGAGGCGAAAAAATTCTTG